TTGCTAGGTATATAGCCAAGTGTGATACTTGTCAAAAGGTGAAAGCTATACATTTGAGGTCCGCTGGAGAGTTACAACCATTACCTATTCCATCTTGGAAGTGGGAGGATATTAGTATGGACTTTATTGTTGGTCTACCCAAGACATCAAAGGGATTTGACTCAATATGGGTGATTGTAGATCGACTAACCAAGTCAGCACATTTTCTTCCAGTCCAGAATACATATCCCACTATACGGTATGCCAAGATGTATTTAGAGCGAATTGTGAGCCTCCATGGAGTACCAAAGACCATTGTGTCCGATAGGGGTACACAGTTTGTCTCCAGCTTTTGGAAATAATTGCATTCTTCGTTGGGAACCAAGCTCCTGTATAGTACAGCTTATCATCCGTAGACTGATGGACAGACTGAAAGAGTCAATCAAGTGCTTGAAGATATGTTAAGATGTTATGTCCTTAACTATTCCAATAAGTGGGATGAATGCTTACCTTTGGCTGAGTTCTCATACAATAATAGTTATCAGGAAAGTATTAGAATTGCTCCATTTGAAGCACTCTATGGTCATAGATGCAGAACATCGCTGAGTTGGTCTGAGCCCGGAGAAAGAAGGTTCTTTGGAGTTGACCTTATGAAAGAAACAGAAGACAAAGTTAGGCAAATACAAAGTAATTTGAAGATAGCTCAGTCCCGACAAAAGAGTTATGCGGATAAACGGCGTAGACCATTGGTGTTTAATAAGGGAGATTTTGTATATCTGAAGGTATCACCAATGAAGGGAGTTATCCGTTTTGGTGTTAAAGGCAAGTTGGCACCTCGATATATTGGACAATTTCAAATTTTAGAGAGGTATGGAAAAGTGGCATATCACTTGAAACTACCAGAACATCTATCAGTTGTACATGATGTATTCCATGTTTCTCAATTGAAGAAGTGTCTCCGAGTGCCTGAGCAGAATGTTGAGGTAGAAGGAGTAGAACTTGAACCTGATTTGACTTATTCCGAATATCCTATCCGAGTTTTGGATCAGAAAGATCGTGTTACTTGAAAGAGGACCATCAAGTTCTACAAGATACAATGGAATCAACATTCAGAAGAAGAAGCTACTTGGGAATCCGAAGATTACTTGTTAGAAAAATTTCCAGAGTTTCTTGCGTCAATATAGAAGAATGTTAGTTTTGCTCTGTTGTTGCGAACCATGTTTGTAAAGGAACCTTAGCTGTTTTATGAACAGGTTTTGGATGTTTTTGGATTGACACATTTCCTTTTCCATTACTTACCCAATGACTTTGAATCTCGGGACGAGATTTCTTTTAGGGGGAAGGATTATAACACCCCGGGTGTTTTAAATACTAAAACAGGACATGTCATCATATGCATTGCAAAGCATTTGGTCTTATTGAAAAATTTGATATGCATTCACTAAAACAAGTTTACTTTTATGTTGAATGTGTGGACTTCTACTGTTTGAATCAAGTTCTTAAAGTTGTGTTGAATTGGATTTCCGAAAACCCTGATTTCTAGTGATTTATTTTAACCCGAAAAACCTAATTCAAAATCAAAGTACATTTTGGGGTTGAGCCTTAAAGCATAAATGTAGAGCTTGTTGTGTTGTACAAAGTTGGTTTTTGGAGTTTTCAAAGTTGTTTAGTAAAATTTGAAGTAATTTGAAAAGGCATAATTCTTTAAATGTCCCCTTTTTGAATTCAAATTTGCATTTCAAAATGTAGACCGAATTATGGGGTGGTTATAAAAGCAAAGTTGTAGAACTTTTGATTTTGAACAACTTTATTTTTGGAGATTTTTGAGTTGTTACATAAATTTGGGAGTAATTTGAGTTTCAAATCGGATGGCAATTCTGTAAATATGGTAAACAGTGCTCGCCGCTTAAGCTACACCGCCGGCGACCTTCTTCTCAGTTCTAGGCGCGTGCGTGGCCGTCCTCAGCTTTGTGCTAGCGTGGGGAAGACTTCGTCGTGACTTCCTCTTGCTTCCTGGCCGTCCTTTAAAGGCCGAGACGCCGTCGCCGTCGTTTTTTTCTCCTCCTCTGTTTTCCAGTCGCCACCGCCGTTGCTCCGTTGAGCTCTCGCCGTCGATTTAGCGCCTATGCCGTCTTAGCAAAGCGCTCCATAGCTTCGCCTACTCTTTGCGCACCTAGCCAACCAACTGTGGTCACTTGATTTCGCCGGGAATCGCCACTCGCCGTTCTTCTTCTTCGCGGCCGGCAGTACCACCACCGTGTGAGTGCCGTCGTGGTCAGCTCTGTGTGGTGTGTCCTTGCTCTTGCTTAATGCACCTCTAGCTCCGCCTTGTTCCCGTGATGTTCTATGACCGGTTGATTGCTCATTTTATCCCTCACAGTCATCGGAGCACCGTTGTCGCCGAAGCTTGCTCTGCCGTGGCCGTTGTGAACGTCGACCCACGTCACCGTTGCTTCTCCGGTCTTGCTCTTTGCTCAATTGAGTTCGAGGTGAGCTGTTGAACCTTCCCATGCCTTTTGTTTAAGCTCTACCGGCCTTGTTTCACCGGCATAGCGCCGCCAAGCCACCGTGAACGCCATGGCCAGTGCTGAGCTCGGGTTGTGCAGTAATCGGTGCAATTTGTGCCCAAAATCGATGCGCCTTATCTTGTGATCATGTTGGTACTCTCGCTGTCGCTGTTGGTCTCACCGGCGGCGAGAAATTGTCGGTCAGCGCCGTCACCGCCGCGGTCAAAGCGGGAGGTCGGGGATGACATGTGGGGTCACCCTGTCAGCGACTGTATAGTTCATAAATGAATTTTCACTTTTTCAGAAATGGATGAATAGTGTATGCTTTTGTTATGTTTGTGTAGAATTATTTAGAGCTCCAAAAATTATGAAAATTTGTGTGTGACCTCTCTGTGATGTATATTATTTAGTAAAAATATGAAATGTTGTTTTTCAGTACTTTTTGAATGTGATAAAAATTGCTCAATTAATTAATAAATGAGTTTCCATGATTTTTCTAGGCTTAATTAATTATCCAAAAATTATGAGATTTGTTTTGCCACTTAGTTATCATGTGATGAGCCTTTACAAAAATTTTGATCTCAATTGGAACAAGTTGATTTATTTCACAATTCTTAATTAAATAATTAATTCATAAAAGCCAATAGTGACCTTAATGATTTAGGTTTTGTTTGAATTTTTGGATTGAGTGATGACCTTGGGTCATTAGTTGGTAATGATCCTTGGCAATGGAATTAAGTGTTACGAAAATGGTTTAGTTAGTTTGACTTGTAACTGTACCGCGAAGGAAAGTTATATTCAAATTGTTATTTTGCATCCATCATCAAGCATCATGTTTTGTATCTCGCATCATGTTAAACATGACATTGTTACCACGTGTAGTGAACGAAGGTGAGCACGTGGTAGTTAATCAAGTTGTGGAAGAAGTTAATCCGCCAGTTGAGGTCGGATTTGATAATTGTGGAACGACTCCGGATCCTAACTTTTCCGTCAATGAAGGCAAGTCCCGGATGCATTTAAACCTACCTTGTGTTTTACAAAGTTATATCACTTTTGCTTTTAAATACTGCATTAAGTGATTAGGAGTTAAGTGAAAACCTAATTGGTGCATTATCAATCTTGTTTTTCCATATCTACCTTGTTACCAGTATAAATTCGTATATGCCTAGTTATGCTTAGCTATGCTTAGAACGAGGAAAGTCGGGTGATTACCTGTCACCTGCAAGTTTTAAATGGATCTTTGGTTACTTATGTTATCATGTGATATGGGAATGTGGAGTAATAAATCTAGACCGGACGGACTCGGTGTGTGTGAGCCACAAGACATGGAGGTCTTGTGAGCGGGTGCTTTCCGCCTATGTCAATTAAGGCCCATCCGTTGTTGAACTGCGTGAGATGAGACTTTGTAATACTAACCACATACTCCGATAAGCCTTAACTTGGCTATTCTATTACGAGAATGGCTACTCACGCACTGGGAGTGGAGAGATGGCGAGAATAGCATGTACCCACGTGGCAATGGGCTGGATTGGTGGAGTACTGTATTTTCGGGTGGCGTGGACCCGTTCTTGTTTTAGAGGATCCAAGGGTAGGTTGTTATATGTAGGTCAGAGACCTACATATGTCGTGTGGTCTGGAATTCCCAGCTAGGTTATAATCGGTTCGAATCGTCGTTGCTCCTTGGTTATGCAGACTCAACTCTCTGTTCATCATCGTAGTTTAATAACTGAAACTTGAGGATGGTTTGTGAAGGTGTTGGATATGAAGTTTCATGATCTCAATACGGGTCATGTCAGCTTTGTATATGATCTTTATGAAGTTTTAAATGTTGATATAAAGAATTTTGTTAAAGAGCTTTTACGCAAAAGAACTTTGATTATTGCTAAAGCCACACCTTGAATCCCTAAGCCTGCATTCCTGCGTTCTATAAATTTTTATTTCGGTTAAGTCTTGTTGAGTACTTTTGTACTCAGGGTTCGTTGACCCTTGTTGCAGGTGAGGTTCATGAGCAGGTCTGTTTTGGGCCGTGCTGCATGACTGTTGTTCAATGCGATGACGATAAGTAAATGTGTGGCCCTTGGGCAGGGCAGTCTAATTGTGTGTTTTGTATTATGTTATAATGCCACTCCACTACTTTATTTTGTAATAATTATCGAACTTAGTTGTATGGTTTGAAACAAATGGTTTGTAAATTATGTTATTGTAAGTCTTTCGCTACTTTTACTCTGATGTATATATATTTGAATAAACTGTTGTAATACTGCAATGACTCTGTAATGTGATCCTGCTCGAAAATCGTGGATGATTCGGGGTTCCCCGAGGACACCCGACAGTCTTCTTAAGTTACCGGGAACATATGCATGGTCGTCAAAGGTCATTGAATAGTGACAGGTGCATGTGGACCCTATAATTTAGGAGGTTCTACCACACCGAGTCTGCACTATCAATATTCATGAGCGATTCATCTTGGTTCATAATGTCCTTGTTCTCTGTCTCACCCTCCATTGCCAAACATTACAGTAAGCCAGAGCAATGACAAAGATGCCCAAAACCCATCCCTTTCTGAGCAACAGCACAAATTAGAAGTGCAAATACCATGTCGATGTCACTATCACTATCGTCGACCGGCTCGTAGAGTTCCACATCGACATCAACGGTGCCATCGCCGATCGATTCCTTCTGTTGATCAACTCCGGGTTTTGGATCAGTTATGATCGGCAGACATTCAGGTTGGCCTTTGCTCCCCAAGGAGGCGACATATTTCCTGAACAACCAAAGCAGCAATACCCAGATCAAATCAAAGCCTCCAAGAAATGCCAGAGAGCAAGAACAGGCTAGCACGCGTCCTAACCTTGTCATGGGTTGGCTGCTTGGCAACGCTGTCTTCTTTTCGTCCTAACCAAGGAGAAGATAGGAACGCCACGGTTAAACAGATTTGGACCCCAAGAACAATGAAAAGACACGATCGTGGGGCAGGAGATTACTGCAACATGGGCTTCTTAGCGACGGCGCGCGGGTACGGGGCAGCCCCGAAGATGTTCTTGATGTCCGTGAGCGCGCGTCGGCTCCCCATCTCTGCACAAATCAGGATATCAGAACCATGGGCTCGCGACGCAGCAAACAATCCAAGAGGAGATCAGCCCTGACCGCCCGCACCCACCTCGGACGCCTGGCACGGACTTCCCCGCCGCCGCCCTCGCAGCCATCGTCCCGAAGCGGACCTGCACACAGCACACGGCGATGGCTCAGGATTCGATTCAAGAAACACCCCTCGATCCCCATGGAGAGAGCACAGCGATCCATCAAGTGCACCTGCAGGAGGAGGAGGAGGAGGAGACAGATCAGGCAGCCTATCGATCCAGCCGAAATGCGGCGGCGGTGCCTTACGGACGCAGGAGCCCCGAAGCGACGCGGACCATACGAATGCATGGGGGCGGCGTGGCGGCGCACGACATGCAGATCACCGCCGCGAACAGGCATGCGACCCCCCGCGCGGTGTCTATGGGTGGCGTCTCCTTTCCCTTCCCCACTCCCACCATCCAGCAAGCTTGCAGAGTAGGCCTTGCCTCACCTCGCTTTATGCGGCTGCGTCGTCTCGGTGTCCGCCTTCACCAGCCTTCTCCCACCTCACTCGATCCTGTGTAGCGGGCGTGTCCGGCGGCTACCACCGATGGCGCTCGGGCTTGGCTCTCTGAGCCGGCCGCCGGGTGGGGAGGGGCGCAGGATCGTGGGTGGCGGCGGCGAGATGAGGGGTGAGAAGCCAGGTGGAGATGCGTTTGGAGAAGAACTCACCAGTCGAGGCGGAGGCAGAGCTGCTGGTGCCGCTATCCGAGGCGAAGGCTATGGCAACGGCGATGGATAGGATAAGCGGGAACCATGGAATCCCTGCCATGAGCCCATGAGGAGTCGTCGGACGCGTGAGGTGGCTAAAGGGATGGCGCGGCGGTGGCTTGTGGCGGACGGCGGCGGCGCAGCGCCTCCTCGCGTCGAAGGGATATGCAGCGCGACCCGCGAGCGGACGGGGAACCGTGCCCGGTGTCTCCAGACGGGGAGGCGGTGCCCCGGGGAAAACGCGTGGGTCGGGAGAGAGCGTGATTGGAGCGAGCGTGATTGGCACTGGCCTTGCCTGCGAGAGCGAGGTTCGCCGTGCGGGGTAGGGAGACCACGCGAGCGGGGGAGCGAGGGAGCGCACGAGGAAGGAATCGCAGGTAGGGAGAGGCAGAGCGACGACAGCAAGATTGAGGAAGGGTACGAGCGTTGGCTGATCGTAGGGGGTTCCTTTTATAGGACTACGACAGGCGGTATCTCAGGGGAGGGGCGGACCGATGGAGCGACGATTGTCGTACGAAACGATGATCTTACTTTCTTTCTTTTTAGTTGTAGGAGATACGCATACTAGCATGCACCGAATTGCCTCGCCGTGGAGGTGGAGCAGAGCGTCGGCGGAGCGCAGAGGAAAATAGAGTCCCTCTCTCTCACACGTGGGCGCGGCAGCCGGCGGAACACGCCGCTTTCGCCGCAGCCTTTCCATGTCCCGTAAAATGAGTGGTCCGACTCCGAGTTTGAGGCCCTATTCGGATTCCATGGCAAAACTTTAATCTTGCATTTTTAGTGTTTTTTCCATGGGATTCAAAACAGGGTTAAAAGTGAGCAAATGGCTAAAAACTAGACTAAAATATTTTGCTCCTAAAGAAACCATAAACTGGGCTATACTCCCTCGGGGCGGACGCTGGACGCCCATACCCCTTGCCACTCGCATGCATGGTTATGCATAGATAATTAAACGAGGGTAAATTAGTGATCGTAGATTAGAGAACTAAAGTTTAGGGACTAAAGTTTAGAGGCTAAACTTTAGTCCTTGTGACTAGTGATCCAAACACCACCTGAGTACAGCTGCGTCTACGCGCATCTCATCTCACGGCTGACGGTTTGACTTTGATGCCTGGGTGCAGAGCTAGGACTTGGTCGTGCCATTTGAGTGCGGGTTATGGTACGGTCTTTTATAGACCTGAAGCACGATACGACACGAAATATTTTGGGCCGTGCCGGCACGACACGAACACGTGGCCGTGCCGTGCTTAGGATCTCGACATGGTGGGCTACATGGCCCGACACGTATTTTGGGCCGTGTTTGGGCCAGTACGGCACGAAAAATGGCACGTAGACAATTCTATAACTATAAAATACAATTTTCTAGCATTTACTATACTACCTCTTATCTAATTCTTGAATAGATTATGAAAATCATTAAATTTTCATTAAAATAGTACACAATATATATATTTCATATCTCAAGTGAAAAAAGAAAACTAGCAAAATATTTAAGGGCCGTGATTAGTCCGGCATGATCCGAAGACATGCCGACGTGCCACGGGTTGTGCTTAGGCCGAAGAAAAGATTCAATGTGCCATATCGGCACGGCCCGACGTGCCTTCTATGCCTATATGCCTAGAGGGCACGACCTGAAGCGGCACGAAGCACGATAGGGTCATGCCGTGCACGGCCGTCCCACCTCTGGCTGGGAGTGCGGTGCGGGCATGCATGCCGATTTCATTGAGCTAGTCTCCGGCACGTGAACGGGAATGGTAATTGGAAAGGGACGAAGTGCTCCGATGGATCCTCCTCCTCGTATGCGTCTCGGCAGCAGATGATCGACGATGATCACCGTCGCGCCCGTTTGCATTCATTTTTTTAAGAAGTATACAGCACATTCACTCCTATAAGATCTGCAGGCGCTCACGTTGGGTGAAGATCTGCAGGCTCAAAGAAATCAGTGGGGCAGGCTGGGATGAAGCAAACTAGATACAGAACTGTTATTGTGTTTCGTTACAATGGGCATGTCAAGGTAAAACTATTTGTCATTACGGTTATTGTGTTTCATTACAATGGGCATGATAATACAATATTTATATCTAATGAACTGTTATTGTGTTTCGTTACAGGATCACCCGAAAGATGCGGAGTTTCTGAACACTCACCTCATCAACTACTCACAGATGCAGACCATTTTTGCTAGTGGGGTGGCAACCGGGCCTTATTTAGATCGTAAGCTTTTTCACTTTCTCTCCATCATATTAAATCTTTGGACACATGCATAGAGTATTAAACGTAGATAAAAAAAATAACTAATTACACAGTTTGATGGTAAATTACGAGACGAATCTTTTGAGTCTAGTTAGATCATGATTGGACAATAATTGTCAAATACAAACAAAAAAAGTGCTACAGTGCCGAATACTAATTTCTAACCCCAATCTAAACAAGACCTAGGTTTGCCATGGCTCCAATGAACCATTGGGCCAGCCTGTTACTCCTGACACCATTGATGTTGATGCTGATGCTCCACCAGTTCAGTCTCAAGCAAGGGAGGAGTCCCCAGAACCGTCCAATGGAAGGAAGAGGAAGAGAGGCCTCACTATTGAAGATAGAGACCTTGTGACAGGGATGACTGATGCTATTTATAGCTTTGCTAGTGCAGTGGCAGAGGGGAACCACTCTGAAGCAGCACCTGGGATTTATGAAGCAGTTATGACTATAACTTTGGCCGCGTTTAGTTGCGCCTGGAATTGGCGCCGCCGGATTCCCAACGATACTGTAGCACACTGTACCATTTCGTTTGTATTTGGTAATAATTGTCCAATCGTTGACTAATTAGGCTCAAAACGTTCGTCTCGCAAAGTACAACCAAACTATGCAATTAGTTTTTTATTTCGTCAACATTTAGTACTCCATGTACCACAAGTTTAATGTGACAGGGAATCTTTTTTTTGCATAGTGTCAAAGTTGGGAGTTGGGAGTGAACTAAACATGGCCTTTATCTAGTGTGCAAGCAGACTTCGTCCTCGCCAATTTGTTGATCATTTATATGATTACCTACGCAAGTTATGTTACCAAATACCCCACTTACAAAGCGTAAAGGACAAGGGGAGGTCTGTGGGAGGTAAGATCACCTCTGTAGGGAGGGGTGAAGCCAACGAAGCAGAGCCAGCAACAACCAAACACGCCAACCTCTGCTAAGCCAATGCAGTTTGGGCCTAGAGCAGGCAACCAAACATAAACCGAGCCATGGCTAGCGTAATACAACCAACTTGCATTGCGGTAACCAAGCCAAACCCACCCAGGCTACCTGTAGCTAGCCAGGCCAGGGAAGCCCAAGCATCCAAACACGCCCAAAGAGTCGCTGTCCTTGTTGCAAGAAACGAGAGCACGTTTAAAAGCTCCGCTCCCTGGGCATGGCCTTAGCAAATTGCGCAAATCGCGCGAGATGGCGGATCATGTGGGGTCGCGAAACTCCTATCTAGCGCCAGCTGTCCGGCCACGCACTCACCCCCGAAGTCCGGGACGAGGCCAGCCGGCCAGGGCCACCCCGCCCCGCGCCCTAGGGGCCCCTCTACTTTGATGTCGTGGGCCATGGGCATGGGCTGCCGCCGCCTGCCGCTGCCCAGTTACCTAGGGACACGCACGGCACGCAGCAGCGCCACGGCATGCCGACACGAGGCACAGCGTCGCCTCGCCTCGCCTCGCCTGCATCTGCCATGCGTTCCGATCAACCACGTGTAATCCTGCCACTTGTGTAAATTTAATTTGCATGATAACTAGAGTGGTTAGGATCCCAGGTGGAAAGTGGGATGCCGGCATGCCACGAGTTAGCTAGCAATCCACATGTGCGGTTTATCTTCACTCATTCACGTATAATAAACATATATAATATATGGGGTTAATTGCACTACCGAAAACACTAAATATGCCGAGTGTTTTTTATTTGCCGAGTACAATTTATCGGACACTCGATAAAGAACTAATTTGCCGAGTGTAGTGAAGAAGACACTTGGCATACATATTACACTCGGTAAAAAACCCGATTTGTCGAGTGTAGAATATAAGACACTCGGCAAACCACAATACGACACTCGGCAATAAATTAACACTCGGCAAAATACTATCACGTGACCGGCAGGTGTGACGGCCGTCTGACGGCGTGCCGGTTATTAGCAAAAGTGCAACTTTGCCGAGTGTTTTTCCCCAGCACTCGGCAAAATGATAAGTTTGCCGAGTGTTTTTCTCCAGTACTCGGCAAAATGATAAGTTTGCCGAGTGTTTTTCCCCAACACTCGGCAAAGCCAAAACTTTTTTTCTCTCCTGCCCTCCAAACTTTTTCTACCATCCACATACAACATGTGTTACTACATGTTAAAATTTGGTATATTTATGGATCTGTTTGATATATTTAATTAATTTATTGTATTTAGAGGAATTTTTTAGTATAAGTCAAATTTGAACTGCAAGTGATTCAAATAATGGAATAAAATGAGTGGAAAAATGATATTCATGTTATTGAGTCCATTTTGAGGCCTTGTCCGGGAAATAAAAAGAATTTTTGAACATCTTGTTCACGAAACCCGACCACGAACGTGTGGCCGAATGGTTTTTAAATTCTAAAAAAAAGCAAACAAAGTATGAAAATCAAAATCTAATGATATCATACGTGAAGGCTGTGGTAAAAAATTAAGAAGGTTTCGGACAATCTGTCACGTACGATGCTTACAATCCGAAGTATCTCAGAAGAAGAATCGTAGCGTAGAGAAGGATCCGGTAAGATTTGGATTCAAAGTGATGGTCGAATTGGAGTTTGACTTCAGAACTTTTTGTATAGGCAATAGAGAACATAAATTGATCCATGTGTAATTTTGGAAAAATTTTGGATCCGTTCGATAATTTTAATTTGTTAAGTGCAATTATAGAATTTTAATTGATATATATTGATTTTGAGCTACAACTGCATAAAATAATAAGTTTTTTCACTCCTGACCTTGAAACTTTTTCTACTCTCCACATACAACATGTGGTACTCCATATTAAGAATTGATATATTTCTGGATCCGTTTGGTAGGT